AAAATAAAAAATAATAACAATTCTTTTAAGCTAAATTGAAAGGGAAAAAAAAAAAAGGTCAATCAATTTAGAATGGTGTATAATTTATTTATTTTAGAATTTGCATAGCAAAAGCATGACATCTGAAGCACAAGAGCCCGTTATCAGCGTCCCACAATCATTCATCCATCCATCCATCCATGACCACCTATATTATATTTTTGTAGCCTTCTGCGCCGTGTGGTCCCCACTGACGTCCCCCCCCTTCCCGCGTGTTCCTTCCTCCCTTCAAGACAGTAATCACACGTGTCGACTTTCCAACGGCCACACCAGGAAGTTAACGCCAGCATCATCCCCTACTCCATCACCCACGTACTCGTCACTAATCCCTACCATCCATTCAACTAATCAAATCATGATCCCCCTAACGTGGCGTATTATTACTTGATCATCAAGAAAACGTAATTGTATTCCTCGGTGTACTCTATCCTAACCTTTTTCTGTATTCCATATTAAACCAATGGCCATGATGAGAACTGTAAGGAACGTTTTGAGCTAGAACCTCTGTGAAAAAAAGTTCTATGACTCTGCTTCAGATTGTCGAATTCGATTCTGTTTTCGAAAGTTGCAGTAGTGTTAATGGAGAGCACTGACTCGTCCTCCGGTCCACAGAGGCCTAACCTGCCGCCAGGGTTCAGATTCCACCCTACAGACGAGGAGTTGGTGGTGCACTACCTCAAGAAGAAGACAACTTCAGCGCCGCTGCCGGTGGCGATTATTGCGGAGGTTGATTTGTATAAGTTTGATCCATGGGAGCTACCAGGTAAAATGATAAATACCCAGATTGAATTTGTTATGGGAAAAGGGAAGGGGGTTTATGTGGACTGAATGATTTTGGGACTTTTTTTTGGGGGTTTTCAGCTAAGGCGACGTTTGGCGAGCAGGAATGGTACTTTTTCAGTCCGAGGGAGAGGAAGTACCCGAATGGGGCAAGGCCAAATCGAGCGGCGACTTCGGGGTACTGGAAGGCGACGGGGACGGATAAGCCGATATTGACCTCTGGCGGAACTCAGAAGGTCGGCGTGAAGAAGGCGCTGGTGTTCTACGGAGGGAAGCCTCCGAAGGGGATCAAGACCAATTGGATTATGCATGAGTATAGACTTACTGAGAATAAGGCTAATAACAAGCCTCCTGGGTGTGACTTGGGTAACAAGAAAAACTCTTTGAGGGTAATGAATTAAAAATTCCCTGTTTGATTTTTGGGTGTTTGAGGCATTTTGATTTTGGGATATGGGTTTGGACTAATGAATTTTATTATTATTAATTTTTTTTTTTTTCGGTTTTGTGTTCTGTTTTGTCTTAGCTTGATGATTGGGTGTTATGTCGAATCTACAAGAAAAACAACACGAATAGGTCAATGGATCATGAGAGAGATGATTCCATGGATGAGATGGTTGGACCAACACTGCCTTCAATATCAATTGGTACCCAACAGAATGCAAAATTGGGTTTTCAATCCAAGGGAACAGGCTATGGTACATTGCTTGAAAGTGAACCCAATCTGTTTGAAGGAATGCTGAACAATGATGGTATTACAAATGGTTCTGTGTCTCATCACCTGGCCTCTTCAAGCTCAAAGCCAGACGACCTGCCAATGGCCCAATCTCTAAAAAGGACACTCCCTTCACTCTATTGGACGAATGGGGATTCTGCCAGAGTTTCCACAAGCAAGAGGTTTCATGGAGATAGCAACGATGGAAGAATTGAAAGAACAGAAGGGAATGGTTCTATTGCCACTCTGTTTAGCCAGCTGCCTCAGACATCTCCATTTCAACAGCAAACACTGCTGGGGTCTTTGGGAGATGGGATTTTCCGGCCTCCTTATCAACTTCCAGGATTGAACTGGTACTCTTAATCCAATTCCAGGTGGTTGGTATGAAATAGATATCACCTATGCCTCAAAAGAAAAATCCAAAAAAAAAAAAAAAAAAAAAAAAAAAAAAGGGGTCCAAAATTTCAAGTAGATTGGATATTGAAAAGTAGCCATTAAGGTTATGTTAGATAATTGTTCATACTGTTGGAGATGATTGTGAAGCATTTAGATTGGGATATTCAGCTTGAGATTTTGGTTGTTAGCTAGAGGAGATTAGAGACTTTCATTTTCATTAGCTGGATGGCCTCAACCTTCTTCCAAACTGTAACAGGTAGCTGCTCCAAATTTTCATCAGGTGAGGTCATGGTCCACAGATATTATACAGACAACTTGTATTTAGTTTTATGTATTCAGAGTATATTGGTATTGTCTTATGTAGGACTGTAGAAGATGATGCAGAAGAACAGAACTTTGACGACTTGCTCTTGCTGTAAAAAAATGAAAATAAAACTGATGGATGATATTATTTTGCTTTAGGAGATACAACATTAGATCCTTTGTATAGAAAAATCCTTGCCGTCGAACATTTCAAGAATATATATTGATTATTGTGGTTTGCCTACTTCATTTTTTATTTACTAAGATTATATATGCAATTTCTTGCTTTTCTAGATCACTTCATTCATTGTTTGTATTTGAAAGGAATTGTAGAGCATCCCCTAGTGCAACTCATGGGCACCTCCACGTTATAATTTCTGGCTTCTTTTGGGTATTATCTGCATGAACCGTTGAAGGTAAAAGCTTTAGTTATCTTTCTCTTTCTTTCCATCTATGTTATTTAAAAAGATCCCCCAAATGTAAAGTTACCACTATCTCTAGGTTAGGTATCTATTAAGCATGAGGTCATTCCTTTATCCTTTTTCCCATCAACCTTAGAAAATGAGAGATCTTTCCTGCCTCACAGTTTAACTTCTTTTAGTTTCGGTCATATCTCATGATTCTAAATAGAAAAGTGGGAGCAAAGTGGTTTGGAAAAGTAGATTCAAAACTATATGTATTTATCTTCTCTGCTGAAGCATACATCCATTAATTAAACCATGATTATCCATTTAAACAGGGATTATTCATTTTTCTTTCCACTGAAAAATTATTGTGTTTCTAGCCGCGGATAAGAGTTCCGATACTTTTATGTTCTATATTAAAACCTTAAAGTGTCAAGTTTAAATCTTGGAACCGACAAAGGAAGGAAGAATTGGTGAGAGAAGGGTATGCCATATTGTATAATCAACTAGCATTAGATGTAGCGAAAAGTATTGGAGAAACTAATTGATAGGAAATCTCAATAATTGGTCGAAAACAGCAGAAATAATTCCAGCAACATGACCAAACTGGGGACCATCTATTTAAGTTGTTTTTTTTTTTTTTTTTTAATCATTATTGCCATCATCATTTCATACAAATCAATCTATCTAATTTTTAGCGATGCTCCTCTATTATTGTTAATAATCATATTCATTATTATAAGAATGGCTGCAAAAATCAGCCACAGTGTAAGTTTGTATTCTAAAAGTTGATTTCATACATACGCTAGGTTCCCAATTCCATGTATAAATCTTTTTCTTGTGTGAAAGAGATGGTTGATCTCCTCAACAATGAAATTCAACAATCGTCACTGTTTTGAATAGGAAAAGAACGATCAATTCTCTCCCTTTATTTTTGATTTCTTTTGTCAAGGATGCTGGAAGATAAGCTGTATATTGACTCAGTGAAAAGGATTAATTAAAGGGGATATGACATATGCATTAAGGCTTTCATTAAAAGCTTGGGAGTTGAGACTTAAAAGATTTTTCAAAGCACTAACCAATTAGTAAGAGGCACATCTCTCTCATGAAAGCAAATTCTACAATTAATTCTTCTAGATAAAGGTCTCATGGAAATTCAACTTGAGTTCACAGTAAAAGATTTTAAAAGTTATTTTTGTTGGAGAAAAATGTTTTTTTCTTTTTAGCCTAGACTAATAAAAAAAATGTCAATTTGATAATTACAGAGCTTTATAACGTGGTTTGATTTTTTAATTGTCTCGAATTGACTTTTTATTAATCTTCATCCAAACTGAAAAAGAAAAAAAGAAAAAAAAACTAATTTATTTTCCTTTCAGCCTCTCCAACACATCAAATCTTGATTTTATCTACAAAATATTGATCTTTTTACATAACAAAAACGCAAGGAAAAATTTCGAGGTAGATATTTGAGTGAGGGTGACTGGGTGAGGGTCGTTTTCTTTTAATGAATTGATGAGACATGGGCAAGTTTTATTCCATGAGCTAGAGTTCACACTAATTGACAATAGGGCTACCTCACAAATGGCTTCTCTTTGAGACTAATGGGGCCATTTCACTATCAGCCAAAGGAATCATTATCTTAAAACCGCACAAATTAAAATAACCCCTGTAATTAATTGCATTCCTTTCCAGGGAAAACGTACAAAACAACTTTATAAAATTTCGTATCAGTTGGTGATGAATTTGGGAAGAGATATTGATCTATAATGGAAATGCACCATCATAAACCATCCTTTTTCCCGGAGAAAAGATGCCATCCCTGAGCCTATACACAATCTATCTCTTCTTCTTCTTCAATTTCCAACTTTCGCATGCTCGTTTAAGTACTTTCTATTCCCTTTGTTCTTGTTTAGTTAAATCTTGGAACTATCTTACAAAACGATACTTAATATTCGACTCAGAAATAGTTGTTGAATATTTGATATGTGGGGCATTTGAAACATTGTTTTAAGGGAACTGGGGAAATGAAGGGGTTTTTTATTTCCATTTCCTCAATGCACCTACGATACCAAAAAAGAATGGGGTTTTGATTTATGGAGCTGTATCCAGCTAAGTCTAAAATTCTTTACAGGACTTAGGAGGCCTATAATTCATAATTGAACTAGAAAAAGCAGTCAAGTAAGCAAGGACGCACTGACCCACAAATTGACACTGATAATCAGATTCAATTCTGTTTTGGCATTTGCAAAATAACCCTGGACCAGTTTGGGATGCTATATAATAATTCAGGCCCAGTTTGTGCCATAGCCCATAAATCTGATTTATGACAGCATAGCCAATTTTTTTTACCAATAATTGCAGATTAAGCAAACTACATGGAAAATTTTATCAGAGCTTTTTTCAATCTGGCTGGAAACTACATCTATGTCTTCTTCTTCTTCTTCTTTTCGATTTTAATCCTGAGTTATATAATAAAAAATAATCATTTATCTCTTAATTTTATTTATTTACATATTATGATTCAAACTTAAACTGTTATCGTTTGAATCAAGGAAAGTTTTCTGAAATTTTATTGGGTGAATTGGAATGCCCAACTATAACAAGTCTTTTAAAAGTCCTTTTTCACTTGTTTCATGATTAACGTGAGATAAACTACAAAATTTTCTATGAAGATATTTTTTTAAGGTTTTGAGTGTTAGATTAAACTTGTATCTCTAATGTGAACAAAATTTTATACAGAAACTTAGGAAAGTCACGGTTTCAAACGTATGCACGCCCAAAAGAGAGTGGGGAATAATTAAGATTTTTATTTATACAATGACCACTAAGAGTGGTGGCAGCCTGGCAATGGGTTTGTTCTGTGGTTGCAATTGCAAGGCAAGGTCCAGTCAGGACCCAGCAATGTGCCAGCCAACCTTTTTTGATCAAGTAAAGCACCAATTATTCTAAAGTGGAATATAACTGAGTGTACGGAAATGAAAAATGACTTGGCCTATGTTCATCAAAGCTTAATAAACCCCACACGCATTAAAAACAATAGATGGTGTTTGGTTAGACAGAAAAAAAGAAAAAAGGAAAAAAGGAAAATCTGGGGAGAATGTTAAGTTTATAGTTTGACATGTATATTTTGTAATTTAAACTGTAATAAATATAAAAAGTTAATTATTAAATTTTTTTTATTTAATAGTTCATATTTTATATATATATATTTTTTTTATTTTATCATTTTTCGTCTCTTATTTTACCTCACTCACTCAGATGTCATACGATTCGAATTTAAAATTTTTTTTTAATGAAAAAATGATTATTAAATTGTTGACCATATTTTATAATTTAATATAATTTAAATTGTAAAACATATTTTTATTAAGATTATTTTAGTGAAAATATTATGGCCAAAATTTTCAAACAAAATAAAATAGAGGCAATATAAAAACCAAATTACCAAGTCCAGCTTTAATGGGTCAGAGGGTCCAAACTTCATATTCAAAGAAACATGGAAAAGACCAGAAATACCGAGTCAACGGTCGGTCCATTCGTTCTTTATAAACATGCAGATTGCCAAAGACCATTTCCATCTTCTTCGTTCTTAGAAAATGCAAGTGAACGCTCAGAAATCAACTACCATGGAAGCGGTAAGAATTCCGGCCAGGCGACCTCCTTTGGCTGGAGTCACGGTGGAGAGGTTTCCCGGACGGAGAAGTTGTTATGTGGCGTGTCCTAATTCGTCTCCTGGGCTCCGACCCAAGTGCACTTGCTCCAACCATCCTGGTTCAGCCCGGTGCAGCCGCCACGGATACATGGTACCCAGCCAGAAGTCAAGGAACGGAAGTCCTAATAAAGAGATCTTGAGAAGGGCGTTGACACCGCCGAACCGGCGGATGACTCTTAGGTGGTGGAATTTCCGGCCAACGCCTAGCCGGCTGTCTAACATGTCCATGGCTTAAGGTGCAGGTGTGGCGACCCTCTATTAAATTTGTTGGTTTTGAGTGGGGGAAGAAAGAAACAGAGCATGCAAAAGATCTTAAATTTTAGTTGATTTATATTGTATATTTTAAAGTCTGCAATTGGAATAGATTTTGGAAAATCATCAATTTCTATCAATTCGTTTTTATGTTCTTATTACAAATCATTGAAAAGGGGGAGTGTTCCGTGGAACACGCTACACCTTATCATTCCGATAACAACTCAATATAAACATCATAAGTGAAGTTTGTATGTCAATTCAACCAACTGGCTCAGGGGATGTTTGTTTTAAAGTTTCATTAATAGTTATTGATTTATTGTTGTCTCCAAAATCTCCCTTTTTGGCCGCGTGGTAGATAAGATTACGAAGATATGTCCCTCACTTTGCTTAAAGTAAGAAAGAAGGATTCCCGGTAACCCTCGCTACTTTCAAGCATGAAACTCGGTTGCGAGTCGATGGGAGAGCATCGGTTAGACAAATTATGAGATGTGCCCTGATTAGACGATTGTCGTAGAAACGGGGGTACATTTCTGCATAAAGGTCCATAAATAATTGCCTTGAACGAACATCAGGGACTTCTCACAACTATGACCAAAATGTTAGTTTGCTTATCAAAATAAAAGAGGAAAATAAAGGAAAGGGGAGGAAAGAGAGTGCATGGCTAGAAAACTAAATTGCAGAGTGGAAGTGTGATGCCGCCGCGAAAGCATAAAAGTGTAAAGAATGAAATAAAAGATGAAGTATAAAATAAAACTTAAAAGAAGCTAAAAAGATGAATTTGGGGCAAAGTGCAGTAAATTGAATTGCAAAAAACTAAATACATCAAGTGTTGATGTTCACAACGAAATAACAAAAACTAAAATTAAAACTAAATGGCAGCGTAGAGCCAAGGACTTAATTAGGAAAGCTGTTTAATAAAGTTGGATCTAAACTAAGACATTACTTGTAAAACTAAAATGTAGATAGCATTGGGCTAGTTGTGTGAGAGGCTGGTCTTTTGCTTCGTTTCTTCTTTGCATACTTATAGCAATAAACACCCCTTAGCAACATGCTTGCAGATCTGTGGCAACAATCTTGAAAAACCAACGGCAATGTGATATTTGAAACAAACCAATTAATTTGTTGATGCTGCTGATTATCCTCTTGGAAGTTTGCAACAAGCGAACGACTTTCACTGCAGTTGTGGAAAGAACCATTAAACCTTATCTGGAGAGATTTACACTAATGAAATACATGCCAACATGGATGACACATGGCATTATTCTATTTTTTTTGCAAAAATGGCTGTAAATAATGCTCCCCAAAACTAGGTTGCACGAATTCATGGAAGTGGAATTAAGTTTTTGAAAATATAGTTCTTAGCACTTTTCACCATGTGGCCATTGTAAAGGAAGTATGATGTCTCCAAAATTGTAAAAATTTGATATTGTTGTTTTCTTCAGTATAGCATGGAATATCATTTAACAGACATAATGGCTTGATAGAGAAATAAGCCAACTAAAAGTGTACCTACAAAAAATGGAAAAATATAGCCTCCAAAAAGAACAATTCCATGAATTCCCTTGCTGGTTAACATGGAGACACAAACCAAGCACGCTTTCATAGAAAGCATGTCTTAAAAGCAATGCTATCTCACAGCCTTCCTTAAGGCCGCTTTAACTACAAGATTATTCACATTAATTGTAGAAAATTACAAACAAAAACAAAATTAAAGCTGATCTCCACCCAAACTTGACTTGAGCAAAGAAATTATTTCCACTTCGATCTGCTACATGACTTACAAACTAAAGGGCAACATGGCTCAAAAGGTAAGCCATTTATTTTTGTGAGGTGCAGACTATCGTCAAGGTTCTGTACCCAGTATGTGCCTTCATCTAATGCCTTGTACGTTTGCAAAGATTTCATATTTTTGGTAGAATGTCTCCTAGGTGACATGCTTTTAATTGACTGCAACATGCCTCCTTTTGGAACAAAGGTTGCAGCATCTTTTTCATGATCCCTCCCTTTGTTTTCTTTAGCAGACATGTTTGCTTTGTTCTCTGCTGCCTTTTTGCTGCTAGAGGCTGCATCTGGCTTCCTTGTGAAAACAAAAGAGAGATTTGGAATGGAACTTGAAAGTTCAATAATAAACTCACCAAGGCTAATTGTTTTGCTGTTGACATTAAGCTCTTTAGTTGCCTTTGAGTCATTCGACCTAAGAGAAACATGCTTGGCAAATGTGTTTGGAAATGTGACTGCATTAACTAAATTTTGATTTGCCTCTTGAGAGGTTGCATTGTGTTTCTTCTTTTTCATCCAAATGGACCTTTGCCTCCCTAGAGGTTGTTGTCTTTGGGAAACATGCACCTTGGGAACAACATGCCTTCGATGCTCTTTAGCTCGTTTCTTTTGAAGTCGCCTTCGAAGAGTCCTAAGATTTTGGGTAAAGAACTCTGGGTGGGCCAAGTTTATATGGCGACAATGTCTAAATTGACTTTGTTTATAGAGACAACATTTGCACATGTCTCCATCCCTGTCTACGAGATCATTCCCCTCGTGCCTCCATTCAAAGACATGGGTTTGGTGTTGAAGCTCATTCTTTGGTGTCGAAGCTCCTTCTTTGGTGTCCAATAGAGGTCATTAAATTTCTTCCTCCTTATTTGACTTGGTAGATGCAAAGGCATGGTGTTTCTTATGCCACCTCTTATGTTATCCTTGTGGCTGCAAGGAAAATTTCGTAATATTTTGTGAAAGCCACTTTGGAAAGAATCATTATTTTTTAAATATGACTTACAACATGTTGGACAACATGGTGGCCTATATGCCATCTAAGTGGCCTTTGGTAATGAGTCTACAACTTGTTGAGGTGGACTAGTCTTGCACACATGCTTTTGTTGTGGCAGCATTGATTGGATGTTTGAATTGGCATTAGGCTGCAACGGCACAAACCTTGCTACCTCTTTTTCTATAGCTTTGTGAACTTCATTGGCAATAAGGTCTTACAACCTTTGTTGTTCAATCTGACTAGGTTGCCCCTCGAGACTGGAAATAACTCCCATTTTCAGACTAACGATTTTAAAAGGATATTTCACCTTCAGCCATTGTCCAGAGTTGAACTTGGAAGGGCTTCGACCACTCGAAAATATGGTCGCCGCAAACACTTCTTAAGTAAGGCAAAAGGAACATGCTCATTAGTCTCAAAAGAAGTCGAAATAAATAAGGTGGATACCTTATCAAATTTATGTACTGATGCCAGCCAAAGTGTTGGCTTTTGTGCGGCAGCATTAGCTTGCTGTTGATCATTAGATGGACCTTGGTTGACGAATGCCTGACATGTCTACAATTGAGCTGGTTATGCCTCCCAAGAGTAAGAGGACTCTTGCTACTATTAGTCTTTGCAGACTTAGAATGACCTAGAGGCATACTTGTTGAAGTCGCCTCCAAAGCTGCATGGCGTCACTAACTATGGGCAGCACGCTGCAATTGTGATTCATGCCCCCCGAGCGTGATCATGAGGTTACTTTCTAACCCTAGTGTCGTCTGACCTTCATTTGCAATTGACATCTCTATCACATTTTGCGATTTGCAAAATTGCTTCAAAGTTCTTGGAGACATGGCTGTATGGTGCCTCTTTGAATCCTCCATTAAAACCTAACTTTTGGGTTGAGGGGTTTTAAGCTCTAGAAGATTTTCATTTAATTTGCATCCTTTCCAACCTTCCTCTAAATTCCTCCTCCATTCCTCATGAAGCCTTTTAGATTTCTCATCAAACTCAGCTATTATTTTTTTGAGAGATCTTGAAAGCTCGCTACTTGTGGTTGCCTCCTCACTATAGGGTGGATTGACATAAGAGGAAGTATGTGATGAAGTCAGGAAGAGGTTTTGGCAGTCATCAAAGTAAACACTTGCCATGGTGGCACAATCTAGTAGTAGAAGACATGATCAACAAACTTGTGGAAACCCAAGGTGGGTCCCACCAGGAGTGCCAAAAAGAGATTGTTATCCCAAAAAATCTCTTTGACACGTGGCAGATGAAATGGCGTGCCACTTGCTCAAAACAAGAAAGGTTTTTTCGACGACCCTCTCTTCTTTCCAAGCATGGAACTCAGTTTGTGAGTTGATGGAAGAACGTCGTAAATTACGCCTTAAAGATCAAACGATTAGCAGAAATGAGGGATGAACTTCCTGCACTAAATGGGTTATACGGCAAAATGCCCTGGATATGATTCCAAGGACTCCTCAAAGCTAATGTAATCAAGAAAAGTTAAGACTGTAAGGAAAATAAGACTGTAAGGAAAATAAATGATCGCTAAACTATTGAAAATCTAAATGAACTTTAAATACGCAACCTGGGTTGAAACAGGGCTTTAAAAGGAAATTTAATTGCAGAAAAAGTAAATTAAGTTAAAGTAAATAAAATCGAAAACAAGGAAAATCTACTAGCAACATAAAATATAAATTAACAGAAATGGAATTGAACATAAAATTAAATGTCAACATCATTTGATTTAATTAAAGGAAACTTGGAAAATAGAAAAGGAAAGGAAGCAATCTGATCACTAAGAAATACTACTGAAGGCAATAAAACTCACCATTACAAATCTACCAAAAGAAGAGTTGAATTACTAAACTAATCTAGGCTGAAACGTAGAGCTGAAACTAAACTAAAGGGTTTGAGACTAAGATGAATCTAAGCATAAAAAAAAAATTGTGTTGAGTTTGTTGTGTGAGAGGTTGATCCTTTGCTTGATCTTATCATTAGGTATTTATAGCATCTTGGCAGCATGGTGGAGATCTACGGCAGCATCTTGAAAAACCAACGGCAGCATAATATTTGAAACAAATCAATTAATTCGTTTATGCTGCTGATTATCCTCTTGGAAACTCGCAACAAGGGAACGGTTTTGCTATCGTTGTGAAAATAACCACTCAATCTTATTTGAAAAAATTCACACCAACTTTCAACCAATAAAATATCTACCAACATGGACGACACATGGCAGCACTCTATTTGTTGTAAAATTAGGTGTAAACAGTTACAAAAAAGATTATATAAAAAATTTATAAATAATAATTATTAAATATTAAATATTAATTATTATTCGTTCTGTTTATTTTTGATAAAGTTAATTTGATTTTTTGACTTTAAAAATATAAATTTTAAATGAAAATTTAATAATTTATATAAATAACAATTAAAATTTTTTTTGATCAAATAAAAAAATACACAACAAGAACTATATATAAGAACAAAAAATTTTAATTGTTATTCATATAGATTATTAAATTTTTATCTAAAATTCATATCTTAAAAATTAAAAATTTTAATTAAATCTACTAAAAACAAACAAAGAGGGTAATTATTAGTTATATTTAAATAATTAATCTAAATACATTTTTAGTAACTTAATGATAATTTTTTAGTAAAAATAAAGTCTTCAATTTTTTTTAAAAAATAAGTAATGGCTTCAATTTGAGTTAACATGTGAGTGAAAAGAGTTAAAGAATAAAAAATAATTATTTTTTTATTATACAATTTATAATGAAAGACAAAAAAAAAGTTTTACATCAATTCATACGAGTAAAATTTGTCTGCCATTTGGTTTGAATGCCTAATTTCTGGCCCAAGTACTGAGAACTACCCACACTCATCCCCCTTATGCATCACCTATTCTATATTTATTATAAGTTTTTTCTAACTAAATTTACAGGGTTTTTAAAGTGTAATTAGTGTATTTCTTATTAAAAAAAAACCCTATTACCGTCCATTAAGCAAAAATGTCAGCAAGCTAATCATTAGATAACGCAAACCTGCCCTGAATGTTCTGGTTCAGTGATTCAGTGTGGTAAGGCTCATAGTTCTGCGTTGTGGATTCTTGTGAGGAATTTCAGTTACCGGCTATGATGAGATTTGTTCTCGGATTGACGGGATGGAGGCTTCGGGCCAATCATTGATTTCTTGATTCAAATTGTTACTTTGAACGATGCTGAGAACAGGAAAGGAGATATCTATCTGTAGGTAAATATGATGAGCTAAAACTTAAAAGCATCCAGTGAATCCCATTATCTAATTAGTAGAATATAGTATAGGGCACAGCGCACAGGCATACCGCATGAAATTCTATGACCATGTTGCGTAAGTAGTCGAAATAGCAGTGAAGTGGTACATAGATCATCATAGTCATAGTCCTGCATTTCATAAATCTTGTGCAATTTTTGAATGAGGCCATCAATCTCCTTTTCAAAATAACGTGGCACCCCCAAGCGATGCACTGCATCAATCAAGTCAAGGTCTTCTGAAGGCTTTTCGAGAGCATTCACTAGCATCTTCCTCCCTTCTTCCATCAGCTTCATATGCTTCATTTCATTTTCCGAGCTCTACAAAAACAATTGAAAGAAGCTGCAATAGTGGACAAATATGTATAGGCTCTTCATGCATCATTTAATGAACAAAATGGCCTGAGCTTGCTTGGTCTATATCATTTTATTACCATAGTGTTGGAAACATA